ACTTTTTATATACACAAGTGCTCACTAACATTTATTTCATTTTAAATTCATATTTGTGTAATGTTAATCACAATTTGGTAAAATAATTATATTTTAGAAAAATAAAATAATTTCCAAGTAGCACTCCAAGAATTTTAAACTACCTGACTTAAGTTACTATTATAACTACAGCGCCARRCCTAAGTCTGGGTTTATTATTCATATGTAATTTTCTTAGACCATCATGTCAGTGACAATAATTCAATTTTTTGTTTATTCTTCTCACATAACATAAATACATTAATAAACATTTTTCACATTGTTTTCCAACAGTTATAAAATTCTCTGCAGTGTACAAATATACACTTATTAATGATTTTTACAAACTGTTTTTAAACCTACATATGCATCACTAAATTTAATTCTTAATCCATTTGGACGCAGAATTTCATGCATAGAACAAAGTGTTGAATTATTTTGCACTATTCATTTTAATAATATTCCAACTGCATTCTGTTGTATGTGGTTCTGTATACTTCTAGGTATATACTTAATATTAAACACTACTGTAATACCATATTATACAAAACAAAGTATATAGCTATTATGTATCTATATATTAATTTTCTCCTCCCTGCTTTGGTATGTGGAATTTGCTTTAGTAATAAACTTTAATAAACTTAAAAATATATTTTTAGGAACATGAGTCAGTTGTTTTCGGATGAACAAGCCCGGGCTAGAAATGATCCCGCAGTGACACCGAGGCCAGTCACTATGCATTTTGTTTCTGATGCAGCCAGAGACCAATGGCGATATGGTCTACCTACCGCAGATGAAATTGCGGCCGTGTTCGTCGGTGATGTAGTATGATAACATAGATAAGATATTTTGTTTGTGCCGTCGGCCTACAGTCCGACGTTAAACGACTGTGCAGTAGTGTGTGTGCGCGAGTGGACACTACACACTCGTCCACAGTCGTCGTCGTTGTCGTGCGAGCGCTAGCGGACGAGTCGTCCGCCTTGCACTCGTTCGCGTGATTATTATTTACTACGTTTCGGCCGTTTCGCTGTCTTTTTATAAATTGTTAATAATAATTATAATGTTCATGTTTAATAAATATCTAATTGTGTTTTAATAATTGGCTTGTGAGTTTCCTAGTGTGTAGGACTAAGGCCCCTCCTACAGTGATGATGGGCGACCACCGAGAGACATCAATCTGGTATTCTACGACAGGAATCCAATAGACCCTCAACATCGGATGCAGACATTATCTGCGAACTCATCTCATGCTGATCCTATGCTAGATCCAGTGTTGTTTCCATACGGTGAAGCCGGCTGGCATATCAACATGAGGCAAGTGGGAAACCGTGTCAATGCAGTTCGCGTACGGAACATTATCCGAGAGTATGGTTGTTATCGAATGGCTATTCGATACCAGGAAAACAACGACTTGCGTAATGTCCAGTTTAGTATATTACACAGAGGTGTTTTTTTTGTTACAGCAGTACGTGTGCAATCTGTATGTTCGGATGGAATCGAACAATCTGAATTACATTCGTAAGAATCAGGGTACACTCCTTGCAGAACCGTATCAAGGCCTTGTGGACCACGTCAACCAACAGCTCCATTTGGACGCCCCGGACCCTTTGGCCGTCGGCCGAAGGGTCATATTACCGTCGACGTTCGTTGGAAGTCCTCGCTATATGAAACAGTGTTATCATGACGCTATGGCCATTGTGCGAAAATATGGTAAGCCTGACCTGTTTATAACTTTTACATGCAATCCTAGGTGGCGAGAGATCACGGAGAACCTAGGGACACACACTTCAGCAAACGACAGACCTGACCTGGTGGCTAGGGTGTTCCACGCTAAACTCAAGGAGATGATACGTGACATAACGGTCAATAAAATTTTTGGTAATGTAAATGCTTATATGTACACTGTTGAATTTCAGAAACGTGGTTTGCCGCACGCGCACATACTGATCATCCTCGAGGAGRATAGCAAGTTGCTTGATGTTGAGGMCGTTGACAATGTTGTGCGGGCCTCCTTACCAGACCCGGTGACTAATCGGCGTCTGTTTGACTGCGTTACGTCGCACATGATTCACGGACCGTGTGGACCACTAAACCTCAACAGTCTATGTATGGTAGAAAACAGTTGTTCAAAGAAGTATCCGAAACCATACAGTGATGAGACGGTGTGCGTCTCTGACGGTGGCTATCCAATGTACCGCCGTCCGAATAATGGTTGCGTGACCCTTATCAGGCGAGAAGAAGTMGGTAATGAGTTTGTCGTTCCATACAATCCATGCCTTCTGGCCAAATATGATGCACACATCAACGTCGAGGTGTGCTCGACCATTAAGAGTGTTAAATACCTTTATAAATACGTCTTCAAGGGACACGATGCTGCTACTTTGGCTATTCATGATGGCGATGAGTTGTTAAGGTAAGCAGATTCAATCATTTATTGTTTTCATACACAGAGTTTATAGTATCATATACAGCTTTTAATTTTATTAGTGTTATAACCATTATATATTTCAGCTATGTCAACTCAAGGTACGTTGGGCCGCCTGAAGGTATATGGCGGTTGTTTTCGTATGAAAT